CCAATCAATTGGGTTGAAGTATTTTAAAATAAACTTAATGTGTATGATAACATCATTTCCACATGCTACAATAGTAATGCATGTTATAATCTGCAAAGAGGTTTATCTATTCTTCTATTCTTCTGATACACTGCCAAATGGTAAGACTTAATCTATCCACATTAGACAACATAATAAATTGTAAATTAAAAATGTAAAGAAATTATGGCAAAAAATTATATAAACTACTGTATAGCTGAAAAGATCTTAAGCAATTGTTTAGTAATAGCAATGCTACTGTATTTTATTTATTTGTCTGTATCCCACTGTTGTTATTGTTACAAATAATTTAAGGTGGCGAATATATCCAACACACATTCATTCTCCTAGTTCCCATTATCAGTCTCTTTCTGATCTAATATAACATTTAAATTGGATTAGTCTCACTTAGTTCCATGCTTTTTATTTCTATAAACTCCATAGAAGATGGAAACTTTATAGAAATCCCTTTTGATATTCCCCCAGTTCTTACTTCAACATTTTCATTCTATAACACAAAATGCTGCTATTTGAATTAAATTTCTGACTACAGAATTTAGAAATTGTCTTTGGCAGAAATGAAAAATATCTTTATTCTATTGAACTGTAGTCTGTCATTGAATTTCCAGTGAATAAAGTTTTTTAAACAGAGCTGGAATAGCAGAACCCAATTTTTAAATATTTGTCAAATTTTTGTGTTGTCCATCTCATTGTCCAATTACAACTGAATCCAGAACAGAAGCCCCCAAAGTATCATGCCCTTATAAGCATATCTGAAAATGTACTTTCTGCCTTAATAACTTTAGTGAGTCGCTAACACAAGGGAAAAGGCAGTTTTTTATTGTGCAAGGGCCAAGATATTTATTGGGCTGAATGATTTATTCAAATAACTCACCTTGCAGGAAAAAAACCTCCATGACTGAATGCTTCCCTGGGAATAAGGAACAATGCATACATTTCTAAAACATGTTGTAAAGAAAAATACTTGTTGCTTTGTTTGACTATAAAATCTTACAGATGAAGTGGAGGAATATTTAAAGTAGTTCATGAGGTGACCAATACTGCCTTCCAAAAAAGAAGGAAAATATTTAATGCCTGAATACATGATGACAAAATATTCATCTTGCTTGATTCTTCATTCTTATTTAGAATCCAAAGTAATAGCAAATCCAAGTAAACTAGCCACAGCCAGTAGATGTTTCACTTTTAAATGTATAGACTTCAATTCTATTGGTTCAGACCTGGAAGAGAAAAAAGAAATTATAAAATTTAACGGAAGAGAAATTATAAACAAAACTGAGACTTTTTAGCCTTACTGGTTTCTAAAAACAGTACTCACATAAAAAAATAACATTTTAAGAATACTTAATATTGTCAAAAGATGTTGCTATACCTTCAAATCACTGTTTATTCCTGGTGACTGCCTGGACAAGTCCCTACAGTTTTCTTGGCAAAAGTTTGGAGTGGTTTGCCATTGCATCCTTTCTAGGGCTGAGATAATGATCGGCTCAAGGTCACACAGATAGCTTTGAGCTTAAGGTGGGACTAAACTCAGACTCCAGATTTCTAGTTTCTAACCACTACATCATATTGGCTCCTCATTTCCATTTGTCAAAAGATAGGTCACTATTTCACAATCAAAAATCCCAATATAATTTTATTGAATCTCCTTAAGGGTGGCAGAAGACTTGTACCAAGAAATGCCAAGAGCCTTATTTGCTGAACAACCAAGGAACCTCACAGGTTCAAGGAATTAACTGGCCCAATGTTTCCAATACTGTAATGTCACAATGGTACCAGTGAAAAGGAATGTTGCAGGTCATCAATGGCTAGATTGATTCTTCATATCAACTATTTAACTTTATATAATTGTTATATTTGTTCTACAATACTCACAACTCAGATACTCATTTGTCTATCTTTAATCTGATTATTAAAATGTCCACAACATTTCCAGCTTTTGATTCTTGTTTCTTGTTTATCTAATTGAAGTCTGCAGTTCAGTTTTACATACTCTTGCTATCTATCCCTGACTGTTTAGAACCTTCTCTGTACTAGAACAGGAACCACTTTTGGCTATGGTCCGGTTAAAACTAAATGGCAATCATGGTACTCCTAAGGCAGGGATTTTCAAACTTGGCCCTTTTATGAATTGTGGACTTCAACTCCCAGAATTCCTCAGCCAGTCATAAAAGGGCCAAGTTTGAAGACCCCTGCTCTAGAAGTATAATGTTTGTGGGAATGATCTTGGAAGACAGGAGGAAGAGCCACAACCATGACAACAATCTCATAAATGTGATTTGAATCCAAAAGAGGAGGGGTGGTGAAAACACCTTAGAAGGAACACCCCTTTTTTCAGGAGAGTAAAAGTGAGAGACGGGAGGTAGTACTTCTAGATCTGCTTCTTGTTACTTGCAAAGCTGATAGGAAAGTAAACAACAACAACAACAACAACAACAACAACAACAACAACAACAATAATAATAATAATAATAATAATAATAATAATAATAATAATAATAATAGGAAATACCTGTCTTCATCCAATCAAAAGATGGGCCAAGGTGTGAGAAGAGGTCTAAGACATCCACTTTCTCTATGATTCTCCCATTGCTAAAATGTGAATGCCCCTGAAATTTAACAAGCATTGATCACACAGGGATATGTTTGCAGTAGCCACCAGGTGGCCAATAGTAGCAGTGTAGGACCTCACTTCAAGACTTACCTTGATTTGTAGCACACTAACCACTCAGCACACTTGTGACAACAATTTACTTCTGAAATAGAGCATGGACTGTTGGGTAGAAACTGCTTCTGCATTAGGCTGGGGATGGGCTGAGGATGTCATACTTTAATGTAATGTTATGCATTAATGTTCTCAACCAATGTTACTGGAACATCTTCAGCTGTGAAAAGGATATGTAGATAAATACACAAAGTCAATCAGAGTGAATCAATGTAAAGATTCGTGTGTGTGTGTGTGTATGTGTGTATCTATATATCTGTATTATTTTATTTTTTAATTTATTTGACTTATTTGCTACCCATCTCATCCAGAAGTAATTCTGGACAGCTTATTAAAAGCCAATACAACATGCAAGCAATAAATACTCATAATAATAGCAATAATTTACAATTAAAAAGATGGGGAGGAAGGGAGTAGAATGCAAATGGGGAAGATGTGGGGTCTTGTCTTAATCCATCAGCCATCTCCAGCATGATGCACCCCCATTGGGGCCACAGGCCAACTGGCTTTTATGGAAATTCAGAAGGGTGGGTGCAGATCTCAGGGGGACATAATATTGCAAAGGGCAATAGCCACAGCAGAAAAGGCTCCTCTCCTGGATGCCACCAGCCGAAATTCCTTGACTGATGGGGTACGTAGCATGCCCTGTCTACTGGCATGAGTGAGGCGGGCCAATCCATTGAGTGTGAGGGTTGCTCAAATAGCCTGGCCCATTCCATGAAGGAGTTTAAAAGTGATAACCAACATCCTGAATTGCAATTCAGAAACAAACCAGCTGCCAGTGCAGCTCTCAGAACAGCAGTGTAATATGTGCCACCCTAGGGACCCCAAGAATTGCCTGCACAACCGCATTCTGCACCAGTTGGGCTATGAGAGAATGATTGGCCCAAAATCACACAGCCAGCCTTTAAGGCAGGACTAGAACTCACCATCTCCTAGTTTCTAGGCAAACTCGTTAACCACTGCACAAAACTGGTTGCGAGGGGGGTACATGCGTGTACAAATTTGGTACATGTGTGTACAAATAAATAAATACTGATCCAACAAATTGCAAAAAATGCCTTTCCATTCTATAAAATCAATAATATATTGGATTTGAGGATTTAGCAAGAGCCTCAAGGAAAAAAGGCATTTCATAAGATAGCAGGATATAACCCAGCTAACAACCTAGTATTGTATGCTTACTCAAAGTTAAGCCTCGAGGAATTTAGTGGACTCTAATACACTTGTCTTACTATAAGCAGCTCATTGTGCAGTACAGCACTTTAGAACTGCATACTTAGTCTCAACTTTTTTGCCCTTACAACTGAAATTATCATTTTGTACTTTATCAGAACATTTTAATTCGTAGCCAGCCTTTTGGCTTGATTTCTCGTTTCAAACTGTTTTAAAGCAAAGCAGCAGTTCTCTCTACTCACTGGAATATATTAATTAAATCAATAGGAATATTACGACCATCTTTTTACCTTTTAATCACTCTGTAAGGAGAAACTTAACAACCCAGAATGAAACATGAATCTCAGGGAACGCGACAGCAACTTCGATCATAGACAAGCAGCAATAGAAAAGGCGAACGACGATGACCTATTAAACCAGCGACTGAAACCTTCACTGCGTCTACCCCGATATGCTAGAAACGCAATGCTTGCCCACAACCAAGATGGCAGAAGGCAGCGGTTTTTCGGAGTCTTCGCTTTGCCCTTTATCAACATGGCGATTTCCTGTGCCCGCAAATAAAATACAAAATCTCCATTTTGGTCTGGGGCACTGCAACGCCGCTCCTGATTCGCGATCATGGTCTGAATTGTGTGTTTGTTTGTTTTTTTAACGTTCTGTTAAAAAAAATAGTTCTGTTAAAAATCGGGCAATACTTTCCCCTACCATGGCAATAAAAGAGATGAGATTAGCTCTGCAGCAAGAAATAATCCTTTACTAACTGCATTCTTTCACGTAGCCGTGCTGTCAAGCATCCTTCCTTGCCCGCATCAAAGATGATTCCGTCCTCTTCTCATGCTCCTAGTTGCTAAATGGGAGGTTTTAGCAACTCTTGCTGTATAAGGTTCGGGCAAAAGCTTCCCATCCCTGACGACTGTTCCTTGTGCTCGGTCGCTACTTTCTAGGAAGGCGGCCGGTCCCTGAGTAAGTTTAGAGTTATTCTTTCTGGACTCTCCCACCCCTTCATCTCTTACGATTTATTTTTTGGCGCGCTCGTTTAAGTTTGAGTTTAGAGCAGAAGAAGAAGAAGGGAGAACTGGCATTAGCATGGCTACAGAACCCTTCCCGAGCTCTTCTCCTATTCCAGCTGACAGGGCTCAGGCGGAAAACGAAGAGGGAGACGCCGGGAAAAAGAGCAAGCAGGCAGCCGCCAAAGCCCGCTGGACGCTTCTCAGACAGGTACGAAAAGTCAACGGCCAGAGCCGCTTGTTTGCCCCCGGGAACCCCGTTGCATCACCTGCCATTTCTCTAGCATGCAGACGGGCAATGATTTCGCTTCGTTTGAATAAGTTATTGCTGCCTCTGTTTGACTGACGAGGCGGCAAAGCTGATCTCGAATGACGCCCCCAACGGCTTGCAAGCTAATAACTGGCCTTCAGGGCAAAGGAATTGAACCGACGTTATTCTCTTGCTGTTATTTTCCCCATACAGTTCTCACATCCTTTCAGGGAGACCCTGCTATTGTCTGCCTTATTCTTTTTATATTTGATAAGCCCCGAGGAAAATGGATCTAACTGACAGATGAACTGGACCAACAAAGCTTCAGGACTGAATGGCGATTCTGTGTCAGGGGATTTCCTGCTCTGAAACTTGCTATCACACCCTACTTGCTTTCTAGAATGCAAAGGCTTAACTTGGCAGTTTGAAATAATAATAATAATAATAATAATAATAATAATAATAATAATAATGATGATGATGATGATGATGATGATGATGATGATGATGATGATGATGATAGAATGACTGGCAAAAGAAAGCAAAGGTAATACCAATAATAATAGGCACCTTGGGTGCATTTCCAAACCGTGGAGTACCGCTTGAATACCATCGGCATTGACAAAATCACCATCAGTCAATTGCAAAAGGCAACTTTACTAGGAACAGCTTACATCCTGTGACAATACCTGTAACATCTGTCTATTTTAGGTCCTAGGGAAAGACTTGATAGATGGATAAAAATACCAAATCCAGTCTAAACATCTGTCTTTGTGACAGCCTGTTTTTATTCCTTTTGTAAGTATCTCAAGGGGGCAAATATATCTAACAACAATTCAGTATGGTGGGTTGGGCTAAGAGAAAATGACTAGCCAAAGTCACACAGATGGTTTTCATACCTAAGATGGGAGTAGAACACATGGTCTTTTGGTTTCTAGGCTAGCACCTTCTAGGCTTTTCTTCCTTCTTACCAGATGTTGCTCTCTATTGCAAGGCATGCTATAATATATGGAGCAGCACTCATAGAATGTTGTATGAAATATAAGTTATAAATAGTTCTAGAAAAGATTGGACAACTGTTTGTCTGAAATGATATACAGTTTCCTGCTTGAGCAGGGGGTTGGACTAGAAGACCCTAAGGTCCCTTCTAACTCTTTTATTCTGTTATATACTGTATGTTTCACAGATCATGAAAGACATCGTCTAACAAAACAAGCATCACATTGCTCCTCAAAAGAAATGTCAAATGATACAGATTCTGGAAAATCCAATTATTCTCTCAACACATTTTCAAACTAATGTTAACTGAATTTTTACAGTATGTTTTCAAGTTTATTAAAACATGGACAATGGTTATCTTGTTGCAGCTTCCTTAGTTTGTGACATGATGTTTTTCATTAAAGGTTTTGAAGCAAAAGCCCTTGGAGAATGCCGGCCTTCAGCAAATATCAATAAGACGATTTGCTTCCTTTGGTCTCTTCTCAATAACTGAGGACAGTAACATGACAGAAGATGACTCAAGGTCTTGGGTTCAGTACAAAAGTATCTATTATCCTGACTATATTATATCATTAAGGTAAATATTATTCCAGTTCTGCAAATATTTTCTGTGTCTGCATGTTGTTTATTTTCCTTTTTAAAGTTTTTATTCTTAATGACAAAATTGAATTATTTCAGCCAAGGCTGGATTCAAAACTCTATCATCAGTTAAAGTTTTAAGTTGAATTGGACTTTGTTTAATTTCATATACACTGTCTATTTCTAGAGTAAATTATCTGTTGCCCTATGAACTAAATCCAACCCGCTTGATTGCTCTTTACTCTTATCTAACTCTAACCAAGTGCTGTCCATTAGCTGAGAAGATTCCTGTGCCTAGGCTTTTAGCAATAAATCAATAAACTTTCACATGTGATTGTACCTGACAATAAGGTAACTTACTGTATCTGACTACTGTATCTGAAAATGGAAAACTAAACAAAAAGGAAACAATACAGTTTTGGAAAGATATATGAGAAACTCAAAAAAAGTATAAAAATGCCGGACAGATAAAAGAATTTGAAGATGAAATTTGGTAAAAATCAAATGGAAGAATTAACAATAACAGCAGAAATAATTGAAAATTGAGTGAAGATTTAAAAATTGCATGGCTTTTGGCTCAAATACCTGACTAGCTTACATCCAGTTATAGCTGAACAGTTTAATGAAGTATTGCATGAAGGAGACATCAGCGATTGATTAATTACTGGCAAAAGACCTAGTGAAAGGGACAACACCAGGAAACTATAGGCCTATAATTAACATTTAATTTACAATTAATGTTAGTACTGGAAAGCAAGGTTATTTTTTGATAAAGGTTTGGATGAAATTAAATTGTAATTTAATTACAATTATAAAGCCCTTTGTTTAAATGAAAAAACTGTATTATATTCTGGAAATATTATTTCACTTAATCACTCCTTTCTGTTTATTTCATGTGCGTATAGATTTACCAAATCAGTAAAGTTAATCTCATCAATCATATTGATTCATAATGAGACTTTGCACTGATATTAATTAATTGTAATTGTAATGCAACTAATCAAATTAAAGTAATTATTTGTATAAGTCTATATAGAGGGCTTGTAACCCCACTCCTCTTTATGTCTTTGCTTCCTGGTTTCCAATACCAGACTTAGTAATAAAACAATTTGTGCTCCAATGCCATTGAATTTTTCTCCTTCACTATAAGTTCAGAAGCTAGCTAAACAGGAAACAGCAGTTCTCAGGTTAGTACAGAACCAGTGGTGGGATTCAGCCAGTTCGCACCAGATCGCCAGAACCGGTAGCTAATTTTTTGTTGTCCAGGCCCAGAATGGAAATATATTGTCATGCCTGGCACTGGGACAATGTGCCTCTTCACTTTAAGGATCCTCCTCTCTGTACTGATCACGTTTGGGTGATATCTTCAATCTTTAACCTCTACAGAGAGTTCAAGAAATGTATTTTTCATCTGCCTGTATTGAATCATTTAGGTTATTACTATACTGTATTTTGTCAAAAAGAATTCAGATAGTAATTAAGGCAGTCCCCTTCCCCCTAGCACTTTCAGGGCTATGTAGTCTTTTGGCATTACCAATTTTTACTGTAAATTTGCTCCTAGTTTTGCTTCTGTAATTACAGTGAGGACTTACTCTACCAATGTGTTTTTTTTTAAAGTGGGATTCTATCTGTAAACAAAGCTTTTCTGATCACATGGATTTGGAACTCTTACAGAATTTTTACAGGCTCATACAGCATTAGCTTCAGTGGGGTACATTTCTTTTTGATATTTTAAATATTATATATTTTACATTCTTCTCTTGCATAATGTCTGTTAACAATGAAAGTAGGAGAAAGAGACCTGAGATTTAAACCCTGGGCTTGACATATACAACCAGATTCCTGTGTTATAAACTAGTTGATTTTCTTCACAAATGTGGCTTCTTCTAATACCAATAAAACTTTTATTTATTATGGTGAATGTATTGAAGAGTCATGAATCAGACTTTGCCTGTAGTGAAGTACGGCAACACGTTTGGCTATTTCTACTCCCAAGGCTATAGGAGGAAGCCTTGTGTTACAACACCAGGATTTAAACAGTAGCTAAACTCTTGGAATTCTGCTGACCATAGGCCAAGCACCGTTTTTCTAGTGTCACAAAAAAGTTGTAACTGAGAGGAACTAGTTAATTCAGACACTGAATCAACTAATGTAGCAAGTGGGGAAGATTTTACTGTAGCAGGTAGTTCCTACATCTTCCTCAGCCAGGACTGAGCAAACACAAACAAGTAAAATGAAGCAAGACAAAATCTTATAAATAAAAATGTAAATGTTCGTTTGTTCAAAATCTTAAATCTCTGAAAGTTCTTCACCGATTGCTTTGAAATTTTGACACAACGTTGCATTCGAATACACGCGTGTTTTTATATACCTATATTATATAGATGTCACACCTGTGACAGGTAAGAACATGCTTTTTTTGAAAAACAGCGCCATCTGTTGGACGTAAAAGCAACACACGCTTTTACCAGACTGAGCCATAGCAACGCGTGGCTGGATACAGCTAGTTTTAAATAATTTTAAATAAACTTTAAATTTTAAATAAAAAACCACACATTAACATGTACTGTATTTCCTGTCTGTTTATTCCTTCTTAAATGTATTTAAACAGCAAAAGCTTCTTCCCCTATACTTCAAAAATTGAACTCATATTCATAGGCATTAGCAGAGCTCTACTTTTTTCCAAGAAAAATTGTGATGTATGCAATGTCTACATTCATATTATAGTGAATATGGCCATTTTATAAAAGATGCACAGCTAAAAACATCTCCTTCCAGAACACCAACTAAATGGGTAAATTTAAGTAAGGCTTGAAATGTTCCAAGTCTAAACTATCAAAAAATGAGGCTATAGAAACTATATATTTTCACAAAGTTTTCACAGGTTTTCACAATTACTGTGCCTTTTTACATCGTTATAATTTTTTCTTGATACTGCAGCTTTAAGAAGCTTTTTTCATTTTCCTGTTTTACTTCTTTTTTCATTGCTGTGCTACTTATGTGCTAGCTTTGCTAATAGGTATCTTAGGGTTTAGAAAAAAACAAAACAAGCTAATCTCATATTTTTTTCCTTGTTATTCTATCCTTGAATTTCCCCTCTTGATTTTCCATTGTAATTCTAATGGGTTGTCAGCATTGCTGCATCTTTTCTCCACCTCTGAAGAGATTCTTAAGAGGTTAAGTTTCTCAGAGCTAGGTTAAGATTGACCTTCACCTGCCTATAAGCATGCATTGTTTGAATCTCTTCCTGTTTACACTTTTAAGGTTTGTTAAGTCCTTGTAATTCAATAAGTATTGTGAATAGTTTTGTCTAGTACTGTCCTTAATTGCTCTTAATAGCTCAGTCTTGTGACCACTAAAGCCTACCAAGATGTACTCTCTGGCATTGTTTGTATAATTTCCTCCTTTGTTTGCACTGTCCTATTGTCTTTAAGGCTTACCTATATGCAAAGAATATATATATTTAAACTTGAATAAAATGCTATAAAGGGGACAAGAGTATAACAAGACAAGAAAAATATGCCTGTGGTGTGCTTCTCCCAATTATGGAATTTTAAAATAAAGTTCCATTACCTTTTGTCCTTGCTGCTAATTTCCTTAAGAAGATGATCCCACAGGGTCCGAAATGAGGCATTTAGACATTAAGTGGATCGCTAACGTTTGATGTGATGTCATTTAGTCATTCCTGTTACATTATAGACCAAAACAGAAATAGAACTTGCACCACTGAAAACTTAATCAGTTATAAATAGGTTGTCCCCCCACCCCGGGAACCTGTTGATACTTCAGTTTGTTGAAACTATTCATGGTTGTTCTTATCCGTGTCTAAGTGCACTGATCCTCTCCTATTCACTATCAACAATCATTAGCAGTCTCTACAATTTTATTTAGCATCCTCATTAAATTTACTAATAGTCCTAGAAACTGACTGGTTCAGTTTATCAATGCAAATATTCATTGGGACTGAAGAACCTAATCTTTGATTCTATGGCATGCAACATTTACATTTTGTTTGACCTTGTGCTTACCTTGCTCATCACCCTGCAGCAGTCACTTCTTACCACAGTGTTGGCCAAATAAATGGATTTTGAAATATGCCTTTGGGAAGAGATTTTCTTGGTGTTTAAGGCTACTTCTCTATTGTACTCAAAAAGAACAGGATCCATATGTGTGAGGTTATATGATTTGTGACTTTCTGGTGTAAGCAAGTTTCTGAATAGAGGACTAGACCAGTTACTAATCTAGTGACTTAATGACTAAACCAGTTTGATCTAGTGGTTAAGTCACTAGGTTAGAAAGTGGGAGAGTGTGAATTCTAGTCCTGCCTTAGCCATGAAAGCCAGCTTGGACCAGTCATTCTCTCTCAGCCCAATTCAGCTCAAGAGTTATGGGGAAGATAGGAGGAGGAAAGTATGTTGGATATGTTTGCCACTTTGAATTATTTGCAAAAAGTGATAAAGGTGGGATAAAAATAAAATGAATGGCTAGGGAGTTCAGGCTTATTTCTTAGAGTTAAGTCTGACTGGACTTCATAGAATGAATTTGATGAAATCCATGCTAGGTTTTCATAAATGCAAACTGACCTATTTAAAACACAAGCTGCTTATAGTGCTGTGTCAACAGTTCAGTTAAAAACTGTTCCATGCGCTAACCAAACTGGTTTCATGTGGCTTATGTCCAAATTTGATTATTCAGTCAATATACAGAACTAACCTGGATTTAATTATTAGACTAATATAATTATTAGAGTTTGAAATATTTGAATTGTGAGATAAGAACAGCAAAAAGCTAAGCGTATCAATGACAACTGAGGGAACACAGAAGAGGGGGGGGGAAAGAATGGCCCTGGAAATATCAGGAAGTGGGTGGGCCACTGGGATTTGCCACATTGGCAAAGCAGAAAAGGGAGGAAAGGTATAATAAGATGGTTTATGGATGTGGCATGCTTAGAACTGCTTGGGAAGGAGGGGAAATGCGTAGCAGCTTTGCCTTCTCACT